CTATCCAAGGTAACACAACCAGTTCATGAAAGAGATAGTACTCACACTAATCTGTCTAACACCAGTGCACATTCTCTTTCTGTTACAAAATGCTGACTCTCTAGGATAGTCACAAATTTCATATTGTTGTGCACAGTAATGCAGTTCTGCTGTTTTAAATCAGAAATTTGTGAAAAAAATAATGAATCAAAAAACATGACTTGCTTCTTTTTTAAATAATACAATAATACATTTTTAATAATACATTAATACATTTTTCTCTAGTGACTTACTGTATCTCATACATGTTTGTTATATATGATTTCTTATAAAAAGTTTTACATTAAAACTGTTTTCTCTAGCTTCCCTTAAAATTAAAAATATTTGTGTTTTCTGGAAGCATCTAAGCTATGCCTCATTAATTGTAGTTTAAAATTTTTAAATATGATCTATTTGTATGGCAAAGGGTTACCTTTGTGTGTGATGGATACTTTTTAAAATAAGTAGTACTATTTGACTTCATGATTCACAGATATAAACTATTGCTCTCTCCACTTTATACAAAGTACACAAAATTCATTCATCTTTTAATAGATGGGAGAATTATTTTCAACATACCTTAAAATTACAAACAATTATTAAGCCTTCAATTATTAAGTCAAAAATGCCTACCTGGAAAATGGAAGTCATTGGACATGTCTATCGGAGCCCGTTCCACTGCTGATCTCTTGTAGACAACATGAATTCTTCCTTTTTCTTCCTCCATCTGCTTACCTTTTTCCAAAGGCTCAATGAAATATTCATCACTATCACTCTTTATCATTCCAGCCTAGAAGAAACATGATTTAATGTTTATTTAAAAGAAATACCATCATATTCAGTTCACAAGCAATTTATAATCTACTTAAATTGCAAGAATGCTATTTTTGGTAACTAAGGCTCTTTCACTCCACATTTGGCTATTTATTTCAAATAGTGAAGCTGTTAGTATGTCTAATAACATGTACAAGGAAGAAATCCATATTAGATAAGAAGAAAAATTTTACATAGTTGTCAAAGACTTAATTTGGTTTGGATCCATAATCAATGTTTATGGGAGCAGCAGTAAAGAAATCAAACAAAAAAGATTGCATTTGGAAAATCTGCTGCAAAAAAAACCTTTTCAAAGTGTTAAAGAGCAAAGATGTAACTTTGAGGTGATACCTGACCCAAGCCATGGTATTTTCAATTACCTCATATGCATGTGAAAGTTTGGTCAATGAATAAGGAAGACCATAGAAGAATCATTGTATTTGAATGATGCTGCTGATGAAGAATACTGAAAGTACCATATATAGTTAGAAGAGCAAACATGTTTATCTTCAAATGAGTACAGTCAGAGCACTCCTTAGAAGTGAGGATTGTGAGGCTTTGTCTCAAGTATTTTCAATATGTTTTTGGGAAGGACAAGACTTTGGAGAAGGACATATTGCTTGGAAAAGTGGCGGGTTAGTGAAAACCTCAATGAATCTCAATGTCAGTAAGAGACAGACAGAATGACAGTGGCTGCAACAATGGACTCGAACACAATTGTGAGGATGGCACAGGTCTGGGCAGCACTTCATTCTGTTACTCATAGCTTCACTATGGGTCAGAACTGACTTGATGACACTTAATAATAATAAACAACACGTTTCTTTCTTACTACGTTTGGCTATTCATCTCAAATGGTCAAACTGTTAATAAGTATAGTAATACAAAGAAGAAATCCTTTTAGCTGAATAAAAGATTCTAATAAGGTAGCAATGAAAAGTATACATATGGTAAAAATAAGAAAATCATACAATGTATATATTCCATCAGATTGAAAAAAATTGTATTTGTGTATTCTATTTCCTACTTTATCTCTAAAAGAAATGTAATGGAACACCAATATGGAGTTGCTGACCTTTCATATTATGTAATTGTTGAAATAATTTACGTGTTCTTCCCATACTAAGAAGGAATGAGTTATACATTGTAATCTTAACAATATAATGTAACTCATATCGTCAAACAGCCTCTTGAATGTTTCAGTGGGAAAACCCCAGATTTCTAACATTTACTAACTTGAAGTACTAACCAATATTTGTCCAATCCTAATACAACTTCATGGGGTCTTGGTGTGGCACAGCAAGATAAGCACCAGGCTGTCAACTACAAGGTCAACAGTTCTGCCCACAGCAGCTCCTCAGTAATCCTATACAGGGTCACTAAGAGTTAGCACTGACTCGACGGTACTCAACAACAACAATATAACTCCATTGCCCAGGATAAGCACTGGACTGTTAACTGCAAGGTCAGCAGTTCAAACCCAACAGTGACTCCAAAGATAAGGGTCTCTGCTCCCATAAAAATTTACAGCCTTTGAAATCCTGTGGTTGCTGGTGGTATTGTGCTATGGAGTTGGTTCCAACACATAGCGACCTTCTACAGGTTTCCCAAGACTGGAAATCTTTACTGATGCATCTTTCTCCCACAGGGCGGTGGGTAGGTTTGAACTGCTGAGCTTTCAGTTAGCAACTCAGTTCATAATCCATTATGCTACCAGAACTCCTCTGAAATCCTGTACAGGGTTGCAATTAGTCAGAGTTGACTTGATGGCAATGGAAGAATAAAACTTCATGATCTTAGCTTTTTTTTTATTTTTTATGCTTATACACTGAAAGGTTACCATTCCTCCTCTTTTATTTTATTATTGTTTATGATTACTTATTCTTTTCTTTAATTCCGAAAAGATGAGGAACATATGAACTACAAAAAACATTTCAAGATCAACACTAAAGAATAATTATGTGATAACATTCAAATGCCTAAAAGAAAAACCACTTAATCCAACTATGATTCAAATTTATACACCAACCATGAATGCCAAATATGAAGAAACTGAAGACAACTACCAAAATCTGTAGTCTAATCAA